CTCGACTTTCAGAATGTTGTATGTAGTGCAGCTGATGGGAGCTGTCCTAGAATCATAGAATCGTTTAGGTTGGAAAAGACCTTTAAGATCATCCAGTCCAACCATTAACCTAACAGTACCAAGATGTCTCTGTCTGGACTGTGTAAACATGAACCTCTGATTTTGGCAAAGAAGTCCCAGATGTTTATCAGTAAGGGCATCTAGGTCTTATTTTTTCCCTGTCCTGAACAGAAGCACTCATTGGCTGTGAACCCAATTGTTGCAATCCTATTGCTAGAAAGATGACTGATGCAATGTAGACTTCGGTGCATGGGGTAGTAAATGGATGCTAAGGAGACTACTGAAATGTGCATCTTTTGGGGGCACAGGAAACTCCAGAGGAAAAAAAAAAATTGAAGGGGGAAAATGGACTGGGAGAAGAGGACACATCAGAACCAGAGCAAAGGTATTAGAAGTCATTCTATAAGCAAAGCAACCAGAAAAAGCTGTGAATTGGACTGTGGGAAAGAGCTGATCCCTATCCTTGTTAGAAGATAAAAAGTCTGTAGTAGTCGGCAGCCTCAAGTGCTAGTTGCTGACTGGAAGCATTACTGGAAGGACCCTGGGAGCCTTTTTACATGCTGACTGGAAGCATTATTGGTGCCTTCATTTGATTCCACATCTATTGCACGATGATCTCATTGGCATTCCCTGCAGTGAGCCCACTTAATCATGCTAACCAGAAAAAAAAAAAGAAAGCCAACTCCAGGCATTCTGGTGCCTTTGTACTGCTAGTCCACTACAGCTCTGCATATTCTGCATCACATCTTCCCCTACCCTCATTCAGACAGGTTAGAAATGGAAAGGTCCTGTTATGTCATCTGTCCCTTCTCCCAACTAATGCAGGGCTGTTCTCTGCACAGTCATTTCTTCGTATCTTGTCTTTCTCTCTGTGTCCTGCCAGATAGGGAAGATGAAGCTGGCATACCGGATTAGGTTTTCCAAGCTGTTTTCCCTTTTATTAGTAGTACCCTGTCTTCACTTTAAGAATGCTGAGTGTGTTCAGCCCCTTGATATTTGTAGGCAGTTTATCATCTTTTCCCCCCACTTTTGTACTGCTCAGCCAAGCTGTAAATATTTATGTCTTTTAGTCTCTTTTCAGAAATCATTTTCTGCAGGCTTATTTTCTGCCCTTCTCTGAACTGCTTTTAGTCTTTAATGAGGAGCCCAGAATGAGTGCTGCTCTCCAGATGTAGTTACATCATGTTTGCTGGGCAATGGAGGGAGGGGGGAAGAAAAGGACCTGGTGTTGCCCCTGCTGTTGGCCATCTTAGGGTGTCTGCAAAGTACCAAGGTGCTGGAAACTCTCTCCCTTCCTGGCATTTGAAGTTTCTCACTCTTTAGGTGGATGGGAGCAACTCAGCCTCAGTCCTGCTTCTCATTCCTCAGGCCGTTCTTCTCTTGGTAGCATTTAATCACTGCACTCTGCTAAATCACTCTGCAGCAGGACAGGCAACTCCCACTCCTTCTTTCATAATATCATCTGGGCCTTGAAGTGTCAAGCTGTGTGGCAGAGCCACACAGCCCTGGAAATCCCCCTTTTCCCCAGAGGCTGAGGAAAGCAGTTTTCTGCCTCTTCCATGTGAAGAGACTGCCCTTCCTTCCCTCTTTCTCAAGCTAGCTGCAGTGTTTTCTAATCTCACTTCTGGGCTTTTCAGGTACTCAGTTCTCAGGGTGGGAATGGTCCATTTTAGCCCTTTCCTACCTAGTGGGACTGGGCAATTTACCCTACCACAACCCCCTGATGTCTGCTCCTCTTTCTGTCCGAATTGCAGTCCATTGTTACCAGAGCTTTTTTGGCTACCCTTCTGCACTGACAATTCACATTTATTACATATTTCATGATCACTATGAAATCTTTTTTGGCACCATTGTTGCTTAGGATTTTTTTCCCTCCAAGTATCCACTTGAAGAAACTGTGCCACATTTCCTGAGTTTCTGGACTGTACACACATGTACACACACACACGCACACATTTTGTGAAAAGTATCTAAAATGGAATGTCTTTATTGCAGTCTTTTGACATCTGTGGTCGTGTGGGAAGTGTCCGGAAGGCACTGAAGGTCCTTTGCACCCCACAGGTAAGTAGTCATATGTATTAGAGCAGTTTCATAGGTAGAACCTTGTTACTATTGAATGATGGAGTTGAAAATTGCTCAGTGTATCAGGATCATAGAATAAAATGATTTGTTGTCCCATAGCTGGATAAGCTGGTATCTCTTGACAGGGATGTTAGGAACCTTTTCTGATATCTGCCCCGTCCCAGCTATGGTAAGAGATTGTTGTTAGTCTGGCCTGTTTTGTCTGATTGGAAGCCCTGTGTAATATGGATTAATCCAGTGAGGCCAAAACTGCAAGAAGCCGAGAAAACTTTGTAGTGCAGAGCGTGAGAAAGACTTTAAATAGATGTATGTAGTGCCTGATGTGCAGTGACATTAAAAGAGATCCTACAGTGCCCAGAAATTATCCCAGGCATCGTATTATACAGTACTGATATTTAGATCTGTTGCAGTGAAATACTGTGACTTGTATTTTAAAATGGTAAAATCAAAGACTGTAGAGGAAAGGAACATAACATCATAGAAGTTTGTTAGAGCTTGCCTTGCTTATTCTGTGGGCTTGGGCCAGTCATTTTTCCTCAGCATGTTTCCATTTCCCCTATTACTGTTACAATAGGAGAAGCAACATTTACCTTCCACATATTTAAAAAGAAAAGTAGGAAGCCTGTGGGTGCTGCTGCTGTTATTCCTTCTTCTATTGTCTAACTTGCTAATAATAATACCTCCCACTATCTAAACACCTCTGCAAATGATGCTGAATTAATCCTTTCAGCTCCCTGTTGAGCTCATTAAATTTCATTATCATTGCTCCACAAGTGGAGGCACTAAAAGATGGAGTCAGCTCGAGGGGAAAACAAAACAGAGAACACAGAGCTCCAGACTCCCTGTGTTCTGTGTGCTGGTGCCCAAATCTCCCTTCCCCACACACAGTGACAACACCGGTGTCCTTCCCAGGTCATGCAGGGAATCTGGGTGTGAAAAACAGTGTCTATGTGTATGCTTAGCCAGAAACCAGATTATCTTCAAACCCTTTGACATTGGGATTTTTTTCCACCTCTCCCTAACAGACCTATGGAGTTCGTGCTACCAGTCAGCAGTGCAGTGAGGCAGGTGACATCTGTGCCATTTGCCAAGCAGAATTCAGGGAACCTTTGATCCTTATGTGCCAGGTAAGACCCCAAGCTTCCCACGTCAGGTTCCCCTGTTGGCATTCATTTAATTAACTTCTGCAGCTGGGGAGAGGCGCAGTTAGCCTGAGTACTTCTAAAATAATTTTCTGGGTCTTGATCTAGGTCCTAGTGGATATTTGTTGTCCTCTTCTGGATAGCCAGTGATTCATGATAGCTGAGCCACTCTTTAGGGGCTGATCATAGCTATTGAGATGGAAAAGACCAGCCTTGTAGTCCAGGGACTGCCAGTTGGCCATCCAGACCTTGGATCTAGGATGCAAGACATTTTCATCTGACCCCTGGGGAGACTGGCTAGTCAGCAGGCCAACTGAATTATGAGCCAGTGCTATGAGAGGGGCATAGATCCAGAATGAGCCTGATAGGGTGCATGAAGACTGGTGCAGCACCATGTAATCATGGTCTGGCCTCCGAACACCTGGCTGGGAATAAAAGTAGTTCTGCATACAGAAGTTGGGCGCTGCTGCCAGTACATGGGAATTGTCCTGTTTCTCATTTGGTAACCACCGGCAAAACCTAGAGCCTAAGAATGGCGTGCTCTGGGTAATGCAGTAGTCCTAATCTGGTGCTGGTAGAACCCTTGGAACACACCATGCTGCCGTGGGTTCTGTTAATACATCAGAGGCCGGTTGAAGGTATTGCCTTGTGGCAAGACTGGTGATGCTTCCCCAAGATTTTCTCCTCAGTTGCTTGGAACTCGGTCAAGCTTTGTCTGTTGGCGTTGAAATTCTGCATCCTCGAGACTGCTTCTGGCTGATGTGTGGGTGCATGCAGGAAAATGATGGCAGAATGATTCAGCCATTTCTGGGAATGGAACTGGTGGGATATATGCTCTCTTGTGATACCAAAATAAAGCTCAAGAGCCTTTTTCTGAAGATCTTTAACATTCCCGTGCTTTGTAACAGGGTTATCAAATTAAAGCAAGTAGGTCACCTGTGCATCAGAAGTGCCTCTTACTATTCCTGTGAACATCTGTGCAGATGTTATCAAGCTGTAAGCCCCAGAGAAGCTATCTTTGTATACGCTTACCAGAGTTGAGATTTTGATGAGTAACATTTCTGCTGACTCCACATGTGTTGAGGAGGTCTCAGCTTCTTACAGCTTCTAGTATTCCCTTCTTGCCCTATTCCTGCTCTTCCAGTCTGGGGCTAGACGGGGTTGTGTGCTGGGCAGCCGTCCCTCCTGATCTCTGTTAGTACCCAAGGCAGGCTAGAGGGAGAATCCTGTTGTGGCTCAGTGTAGAAATGAGAGGAGAAGATAAGGGGTGAAAACTGACATTTGTAGAGAAGGGGAAACTGGGACTGTGAAGCTACTGAGTAGGATTGGGTGATGTGACCAGAAAAAAGCAAATGCAAAAAGGAGTAGGGGGAAGAAAAGGGGTTGTTTGAGTTAAGTAAGGATTTGTAAAATAACCCAGGGAATTGAGAGTGGAAACATGGTAGAGAAAACCTTCTCAGCTACTTTGTTAGCCCAAATGTCATAGGCCTTTTTAATGTTTCTTTCTATTGCTATATTAAGAAGCAGAGTAAGATATCATTAGCTTTGGCAAACTGATGTACTAGTAATGCTGGGATTTATTTTTCGTATCATGTGAGTACTGCTAATCAGCTGCACTGTCTACCCAAACTTGAATCGTTACTCGCTCCCGTGGCTGTCCTATTGAGTGTGCACTCTTGGTGACAGGATTGGACCTCCTGCCCTCATCGTGATGATGCCCTTTTGTCTCCACAGCACGTGTTTTGTGAAGAATGCCTCTGCCTCTGGTTCGACAGGGAGAAGACCTGTCCTCTTTGTCGTTCTGTCACAGTAGAAACCCTGCGTTGCTGGAAAGATGGCACCACCTCTGCTCATTTCCAGGTGTATTAAAACCAATACATACCAACAAATGGAATAACATGTGTGGAGAGAAGAAAAAGCTGGAAAATCTGGTGATTCCCGTGCCCCTGTTTAGTTGCCTGTGGATGTGTTGTCTTAGTCTTTTCTTCCAGCTCTATTTCTCCAGGAGCAAACAGAACCACAGTTGTTACTAGCCAGAAACTTTATCCTCAAAGGCAAGAAAGATGTGTTTTATGTTACAGCAAACTCCATGGCTAAGCTACAGCCAAGATTTTTTCTTGAACTTACATGGTTATAAATTGCCTGGGATGTTTCCTTTCTTTCTGTCCTTTTAGTATAGATAAGTATTGTGTGTATAAGGCAATCGTACTGTGAATTGCATGTGTATAACCTGGTATACTGGAAAAAAGCTGTCCTCCTCTGGCTCAAACCACTGGTGAGATTTTTCACATTAAACGGCCCTAGCTTCCCTGAATCTGTAACTTAGTAGAATTACACTGTTGCTATCATATTACCTTTGAGAACTCTTCCAAAACAGTGCTTCAGAACCACGTGCCCAAAGTTTATTTGGGGTTGGAGAAACATCATTTCCCAGCAGATGTGTTTTTGCAATTGATTCCACAAATTGCACGTGTTGTCGTCTTAATAAAATCTCAAGGAACTTGGGAAAGGCTATGCTAGTGAAGCTGGAAATGACACTTGCTTTTCTTGGGAATGTTTTTCCTCTTTAATTTTCATGATCAGTCTTTCTGGTTTCCTAGCATATGGGGAGAACAGTGGGAGGCAGGGAGAGATTAAAGTCAGGTTTGTCTAGGTGAAAAGTTAAGGTCCTAACCAAGAGCATCTCACAAATTCAGGTATCTCTGCAACATGCTACTCAGCACAGCCACTTGAGGTAAGGCTTACTGGCTTTAAAAAGCAGCGCCACTCAGCATCCAGAACCTGCCTGGGTCCAAAACCAGAAAAAATGTGCTCACACAGCCCTGAGCCCATACAGCACTGTTGATACCAGCAATGCTGGGGCATCAGGGTCCGCTGGAGAGACTGGATTTAGTGAGACTGACTAGCCTGAGGGCAGAATTATACAGAAGCAGCTGCATTGCTTCAGGAGCCAGCCTGGTTTATGCACAAGCTGGATAATCCACCTGTGATGGTGGACACTTGATTGTTGTAACACCTCTGCTTCAGAAAAAGCTCTTCGAGGAGATACGTTGTATTGTTAACAGGAGAATTAACATACTTTATATTGCTGCAATTTCCATCTCTGCTGAGGGTGCTGCAGTGGCACTTGCATGCAAATGGAGTTGCTGCTTGTTCGCTGAAGCTTTCTCTTGCACTAAACAACCTCTGCTTTTTGCTGCACGCCCAGAGAAAGTGCCTCATTAGGCAATTGTGGCATCTTCCATGCTCATTACTATGGAAATGGCCGTAAGGTTACAATCCCACTTGAGTGGATAATCAGGAAGAACTGTACCTGGGGGAGATGAGCCTATGTGTATGTACTGACTGCCGCCTTCCCCTCCTGCTGTGAAACTCCACAGGGAGAAGAATTAAAGCAAACAGGAGCTAATGGTAACAGGATTAAGGCTCAACGTTTCTTTAGAAATAATAGTTCAGTATGGCTAGAGGAGAAATTATGAGAGGCAGAGCCTGAGCAGGGAAGATAGCCCAAATCTGGCTTGAGAGATACAGGGAAGTAGAAGAGGAAAAGCTTTACTTTCCAAAACAAAGTGATTTGGTTCTTCTCAAATGGATCCCATGAAAGTGGAAAACTAAGCCAAGGAATCCAGTGGCTGTCTCCAATGGGAATAGCCTTTTTGGGATGGGGCAGATGGAAGCTCACTAAGGAAGGAAGCAAGGTTTTCAGCAGGCATAAAAATGTTGTTACATACAATAGTCTGGTATATTCACCAGGAAAAGGGGAAATTACTGATTCTGTGGGCAGGCAACTTATGAAAGGTTTCAGCGTCAGTTTTCAGTGCAATGCCAATTAATTAAAGGGTTGGTGGTATCTGCGTTCAAAATGTTTGAAAAGCCACTTCCAATTCTGATTTTTTTTCTAAATGCTCCTGGAAAATGTATTTGGAGAAGTGTATGAAAAGGTCAATATGAGCCTAACACTACAGATAGCATTTGATACGCTGTTTCATAATTACTATTTTTTATTTGGTGATAGGGAAGGAAGGCAATCAAAGGGAAAGTGCGGGGAATATTTTTTGCCATTCTTATAGTCCTTTCTTTTTTTTCTTTATTGAATGATCTTTCCCAGTTGTCAGTGTAAGAAAGAGGGGAGTGTCATCATCATATACTTGAAACACTTTGCTACAGCCCAAGGTCTCATAAAGATCTCTGGATAAGACTTCATACCAGCACATAGTGGAAGAATTGCCACATACCTTGGGTGGTTTTGGTACCCATGTAAGAACCCCTGCACCAGCATCATAATTTTCTAAAGAACTTCTAATGATTAATTTTTCTTTTGCTTCATCTCAGTGATCCCTTCTTGATTTTTGCTTTCCCTCACTATTATGAGGCAGCACTCTGGTCCCTGTACAGAAGTCTGGCTCCTCTGGTGTTGCACTTCAGTGGTGTCCGACACCTGTGTGCAGATAACCCATTGCAATTCCCCTTTGTCTCAACAGAAATCCAGGAAAGTTGTGTTTGGGTAACCCTTGAGACAGGCGGCTTCTGTTGCTATTCAAACGGATACCTCAGTGACAAAAGACAGCCCTGCGACCCGGATGTCAGGCCTTCACTATGGGAAGAGCCTCCATCTGAGAGGACATGGGTGCTGAGGCTTGGTGGGCCATCCAGTGCTCCACTTCTCCGTTAAACTTAATTAGTGCTAAATAGAAGGTGAAGTTTTATGCTGTGGATATTTATTCTACTGGAAGCATAGCAAAGATCATCTTAATTCCTGCAAGATAAAGAATTCACCACAGGCCACTCTTACATAGCTGTTAAATTAAAACAACATCCTTCAGTCCCTATTCTTTTGCCCTGGATACTGTGGAAGAAACAGCCCTGTGCTGTTAGCAGGCTGTCAAACCTGGCTCCTCGGGTAAGTTATGGTTTTGTGAGGCAGGACAATTCTACCTTCTCCTAGAACATGACATTTGGACCAGAAGACAGAAGGGAAACTTCAGTTCTAGTGACAACTGAGGAGAATCTTCTGTTGATTTCCATGGGAAAACTGTTAGGGTTGTGGAAAGAAACTATTCTCTCAAATTTCAGGGAGGAAATAAAAACCGGAGCCTTTTTTTGCCATTGAACAGTTGTTTTTCTTTTTTTTAATAAAGTCATTATAAATATGTACAAAGAGTCTCAGCATATGAAATTCCTTTTACAAAAGAGAGAAGCCACATCCAACCATAAACAGGAGCCTTCATGAACTCATATCAGCAGTGAGCATATGCTTTGCTCTTGCTTTGGTGAGGGCGGAAACATGCACAGCGACTCTGCAAGAGTTTACATCCAAATAGTACTGAATCAGTAATGTGAATTACTGGAATTGTGCATTCACTGCATTTCATCTGTTTTATTCTGTTAGCAATGCATCTGGGAGCAGACTGGAACATTTGCAAATGTCCTAAGGACTAAAGATGATGGGAAGATTTTTTCTTGTGATAAACTGTGGTCTTCAAATTGATTGGAAAGGTTATGCTGTGAATACCCATGAAAACTAAATCCCATGGTAGTTGGTTTTGCTCTCTACTTAGGTGGCATCTGTAACTGATAAGGGATGTAATTAATAATGGCAGTTCAGTACCCAGATGCTTTCTGTGAATATCTGTCAAGCTCCAAAGTCACTTTCTGTAAATATGAAAAAACCTGTGAAATTCAAGTACTCAAGTATTCATGCAGAGTGAACACTGAAGAAGTCTGATTGGAGTTACATGAAAATTCACTCTTGTATTCAAATAAATATTGTCAGAAAAAAAATATTCACTTGGTTTGTATTTTGTAGCTTTAAATTTCTCTTGCAGATGGGGAATGGAAATTCTGCAGCTCTGACTGGAACAGTCAGCTTTTTCCCACAACTGCTAAGGGCAGAGCTGTGGTTTGGAAGACCTGAGTTTGGGAGCGCATTTGGGGCGTATGCCGATGGAGATTCTTGTTATGCAGATGGCGCGTGATTCAAGCCAGTAGGATTGGCAGAGGGAAGAAGCACGGAAGCATCTTATGCTGAGGACAGGGATATATACCTGTCCTGTGAGCAAAGATAGCCTTTTGAATGAGAAGGGCTTGCACATGCAGACCGGGACAGAATTAGAAGACCAAGGTAGGAGCAGCAGGCAAGGATTCCTCTCCTCCATTCAGACTAGCTGATATACCAGTGTTTTCCTAAGGTAGATCAAGTCTCACGTTATTTAGACTTTCCTAAGCTTTTGGATTTTGAACGAACATGGCCAGTGTCTCCTAAGCTTTTGTACTAAGAGAGATGAACAAGTTTAACTTGGCAGACATCAAGCAGTACCTTGCAAAGTGTTTTACAAGAATGAGGCTAATTTTGAAGCTTGGGTTCAAAACCAAACTGGCTCTAAGCAAATTTGCCCAAAGAAAAGTTGTGCCAATATTGTTCACCTGTTGTGGAGGTAGAATATAGCCAGCAGGTTTTGACACAGACAAAAAATGTGGGTCCCGGATTGAATTTGGAGCCACAGGTAGTTTCTTATATATATCTCAGACTTCTGTCAAGATCATGGACAGATCGTTTTAAAACCATTTGTAGGAAAATGAAAATTAAATATTAAGGTAGATGTACTAATCTGTCCTCACCATGAACCATTGTGTAGCTGGTAGTGCAGTTTTTAGAAGGGAAAGATCTCCTTCAGTTTTGCTTCCTGATTGCCCCCACCAA